GGAATTGGGTTTTGTTGTTGTTATTGTTGTTGTATCATATTGGTTACTTTTATTTTAATTTGTCAATTTTAATTATTAAAATTTAAAAACTTACATTTTGATCATAAATGTTATTGAATTATTACAATTTTATCGTTAAGTCGATACCTCTTGTTATTTTAGGGATGTGACATGTTGAAAAATAAATAATTTTAAATTTGAATTCTAAAATTAAGATGAAATATAAATATAACCCTAAACATTAGAAATTTTAAGGCAAAGTTCATTCAATTATTAAGTTCATGGAAAACCAAGTTCAGAAAAGAGTTAACGACTATATATATAAATAATCGAAACATAACTTTTAAAATACAATGATAATCAGTGTGAACTACTATTTGACATTTAAGTAAGGCTATTGTTAATGGCCGGTGCATATGTATATTGTCTCCTTATGTATATATATATATATATAAAGAAAGGTAGTAGCAGTTCCATAAGTTGACCCAAAGAAGTCGGGCTTGAAATTGGAAGTTGACTATTGATTACGTAAGGCGTGTTGCCACGACAAATGTAAACTCTTAATCATATAACAATAAACGTTCGTTCACTTTATTATAATCGTTTGTTCTTGAACTCGAAACTTCTAAAAATAATAATAATTCATTTAACTATTGAGGTGATTTGATTCGTGTGGACAAATGCAAACTCTTTTCTTCTTCCCTTTTATCGTTTCTTATTGGTTTGTAGACGTTTCTCCTTCGCCAATCATTTTCATCAGCTTTATCTTTTTCCTGCAACGGCAACCCGTGAAGGTTTTTAAAGGCTAATGCGAAGAATATATAGTCAAGTGGGAAAGGATTAGTTGCATGGATTATGTTAATTGCAATATAATACACAAAACAAAGCATCCTACTTAAAAAAGGCACACACACCGATGTTGGTGTTGGGTGAATGCATGTTGACTAAACCTGTTGGAAAACAAGGGACTGTCGGTGTTGTCTTCACCACGTAATAAATTATTGAATAAATTACATGTTTAATATCTCATCTATTTTCATATTTTTGTTTTAATCATTTAAAAAAGCATATTTAAGGTTATGTTTTTATTTTAGCATGTCCTTATTAAGTTAATTTATATGTTAACTTTTATTATATCACTATTTCTGTAATAGAAATATATATGTTAAGGTTATTTTTGATTCATATTATTGAATTTTTATGTTAAGATCAATTTGATAGAATATATATGTTTTAGAACTAAAACTTTTATTATATCACTATTTATGTAATAGAAATAATCCTTAATAATATCAAATATAATTTCTATGCTAAGTAAAGAAACGCGGTCATCTTAACGAGTAAACGGTTCACCATGCATGTCAGAAACAGATTGAATGGGGCTTATTTGTTGAAGAAACAGATTGAATGGGCCTTATTTGTTGAAGTTAACGAGTTCCGAGAGCTCTATGCTAAGTACTTACAATTTTAAGCAAAGTGATGTCACAATGTCGAAATTGATTATTCTCTTAAAGGACATAGATTGTACGTTAAATTTTGCTAATGCTTCATGATCCCAGCAGAAAGAATACTCAACATATAAGCAACAACTGGTATCTGAGATGTAGGGTCCTGGTTACCCTGCAATTTCTACGAGAATACTTTATTGTAACCATAATGTATCTGCAACACCTTCACCCAAGTTACTAAACAAAGACGGGCACAATACCTATTCAACTACAAGTAACAAATGTAGAGGCTAAATTCAGTCGAGGGGAAACAATTACCTAAACGATAAATCATAGATCCAGAAAAAATGGGCATGGGGTGGCCAGATGACAGAAAGGAAATCACATGTACAAACCAATAAGATAGACCTTTGTGCATAATGATGTTATAATACCTGATTGTCATAGGTCTGAGTGCATCTCTCCAAAAGGAATATGGATCATCACTTCAGGTACCTTGAAAATCAATACACCCACTACAACATCCATTCTTTTATAGGATAATAGGAATCTTTAAAAGCATCAACCAGAAAATGTTGCACCAAGGAACAAAAGAGAAGTGCTGAGTACAATGCACTAGTGAAAACACAGAGAAATTGAATAAACTGCTGAGAGAAAAAAAAATCAGAATTGAAGAAACTAGGTTATTGAAGGTGGAAACAAATACATTAGGGGAACGTTCTATCATGGTTGTCCCCACAACATTATACTAACAGATGTTATCGAGGGAAAATCAATAAATTAATATTTAGTATCTAAATCAAATTCAATGATACACAGAATACAATTTGCATAGACATGCAATGCACCACAAATTACAAGTGTGGGGGAATTTGATCCCATGAAGCAATTAAATGGATAGAGTGAGACGTGACCACAGATTATCCACATCCACCCAAAAGGCTGATACCGCAGCCAGTCAAATATGTTCATGGAACATTTTCTGCTTCCTTCCAAGACTAACCTCTCAATCAACAAGGTTTGTTTTGTTTGTTGTCTCTCTTAAGCTGAACCTTGAGTTTCTTACCACCTAACTGGCATCCGTTCATCATGTTTATTGCATTTTGAGCAGCTGCTGGAGAGTCATAACTAACAAATACTGCAAAGAGAGATTCTTGAGAGAGAAAGCTCCTTAACAATCATATTCAGATTAAGAGGTGAAAGAAAACGCATTTACCGAAACATTTGCTAACTACCGTTGCTTTGTCAACAAAAACCTTTGCACTTAAGACCCTACCAAATCCTTGAAAAGCATTAGCCAACTCTTGATCACCGAATTCTTGAGGTATGTGATAAATAAATAGATTTGCACCAGGTGGACCCAAGCAAGAGCATACACTAATTAATAACACGCCACCACCAGCAATATACTTTCAAAAGGCAACAAAAACCTAGAGGATCACAGATAACAAACCTTCAATCTGGCCTCCTGAATTTGCACCAACAGGGGAAGATGATGAAGAATCACTGCTTACATTTGCTTGTGGCGCTGAACCATGTGAACCGGTCAACGGATGATGGCCCATGACTCCCCCAGGATATGCCATGGGGTACTGATGACCTGGCACAGCAGGGTAAGCTGAGCCCACATAACTTGTCGGAGGCACAGCATAATTTCTAGGAGAAAGATTGGATGCAAGGTCAGGTGTAATTCCTCGCATTGGTGGCAAGCGGTACTGCATAGGTACGTAACTTCCTGGAGCCTAAATAAATAATGAGGTGATAAATAACCCATAGCTCAGTTAATAGGAGGAAACAGAATCATTGATAACTACCAGAATTTCTTTCAGAATTTAAAATCCAGACCAAAGAAACGGGTAAAACTACCTGATAACCATATCCATTATATGGGGGAACATAACCCATTGGCAAGGCTCCAAACAAAGAAGGATGTGGTGAATCAGCAATTGGTATGTTCGAAGCTTGAGATTGAGCTTTCTGGACCCTCCGAGCTTGTCTTTCCTTTTCTGTATCCACCCATTTGACAACGAGAGGGACACTTGAACCCTAAAACAGCAAGCAATTGGTATGTTCGAAGCTTGAGATTGAGCTTTCTGGACCCTCCGAGCTTGTCTTTCCTTTTCTGTATCCACCCATTTGACAACGAGAGGGACACTTGAACCCTAAAACAGCATAAAATTAAACATAATAGTCGGATAATCATTTTATACTTTTAATAGTTGTTATACTCAATAAAGTAAAACCTGTCGAAAAATTATGTTGTAACTTTTAATAGTTGGGAGACTCCATAAAGCAGCGTCCTATAGTCGGGGATTATTTACGTAACATAAACATTTAAAAAAAAATTCTTAAAATTAAGCTAATGTAATAGCTCAAGGGAATATCTCACAAAGTCAAATAAGAGTTAGTTTTACCTAATAAACTTTTTTTAATTAAATTTCAAAGGAGTACCCGTCAATAATGCCAACAATTCCCATTTTATGTACATTCATGCAATTTGCACTGAAAATGACTACAAGTTAAATAATAAAATATCAGCAATATTATCCTTGTAAAACAACCTTAATTTTATGTAGTTTTTAATTTTTAAAATGATTTATTTTATAATTTTAAATTTATGATTATAAGAATATTTTATATTTTAAGATAAAATTTAAATAAAATAAAGGGTAAAATACAGAAATGGTCCTTTGACTATAAGATATTGCTTTATTAAGATCATCGACTATTAAAAGTTACAAAATTGTCCTCCAATTATAGAGTGTTGCTTTGTTGAGTCCCTCGACTATTAAAAATTACAAAATAATCATCCGACTATTCTTTATGTTTCAAACTTGTTATCTTCCATTAAAAACTGACGACATTTTTAGCTGAACGTTAACATGCTGACTATGATATGATAAAATCTGATATCAAAATCTCAAACGACTATCATATCCCAGTCATCATGTTAGCATCAAACTTAGACAAACATCAATTTTTTTTACGGAAAAGGACGAGTTGGGAACATAGTAAATAGTCGGGTGACCATTTTGAAACTTTTAATAGTCAAGGGACTTAACAAAATAACATTCTATAGTCAGAGGATCACTTTTAACTTTTAATAGTCGGTGGACTTAATAAAACAATACCTATAGTCAGGAGACCATTTGTGTACTTTACCCTTAAATAAATTGGATAGTTGTTTTTCTAATAAAAATATGTAATTTATTTGAAATATAAATCTAAATTTAAATATAATAAACTTAATATTTTCAGTTTTATCTATTACTTATCCTATTCATTTATGTTTAGAAAATTAATTGTAACTTGAGTTTGTTTTATACTCGCAATTTAGATTTATCCATTGTTAATTTGATTTTGAAGAAGTCATTTTAACATTCAAATTCATGAAACTGATAACTAGATTATCTCTGATTAGGTAATTCAATTCCACTGGGCTTTTTCTCCTGATTTAATTAAAGGGGAAAAGAGTAATTAAGTTATAGATTATTATTGGATGGAAGACCTCAGTTGAAAGGAACTCTTATATATGAGTGTAGATTGCTTATAGAGAGCTATAGTTTCTTCAGTCATCCCAGTTCTTGTTCCATGGGGAGCATGGATTCTTCGGCTGTGGTTCACTGTCAAAGGTAAAAGATTGGGTTTGCGATTATTTTATTGATAATATCGATCGATCTTATTCGATCAACTAGTGCATACCGTTAGCCATTCATCTGTCATGAAATATTGCGTCTTGCTATTGGAAATGTGTTCTTAATGGTACTATAAGAAGAATTACAATCTTAAGAAGTGTTGATTTTGATTAATTTCTACACCAATTAGCCATTATGTATGTGTCTGATGCAAATGTGGTAATTTTTCTCCAGGCCGAGCACGCGTGATCCAGTTGTGGCGAGGGAATGGGGTGATCTTCCTTCTGAACTTTTGCCATCCATTGCTGATCGTTTAGGTCTAATCGAGCTTCTCGGTTTTCGTGGCGTCTGCAAGGAGTGGAACTCTGCTTCTTCGACCGCTTCGGCTGAGATCGAGGCCTCACCGGATCGAGAACCTTGGTTTCTGATTTACGGGGAGAATGACAATTCTCAATGCACGTTGGTTACTGGATCAGGCAGACAATATTCCATTACCATCCCAGAAATGGATGGAGCAACCTGCCTTGCATCGAGCCAAGGGTGGCTCCTTCTGTTCCGCGAAGGCTCGATGTTCTTCTTCTGCCCTTTCTCTCGTGCCAAAATCGAGCTTCCGGTCCCATGCGAGTTAGCTCACCGTGAATTCTCGGACGATGTAGCGATGTTTTCAGCTCCTCCGACTTCGAAAGATTGCGTCGTATGCATCGCTTGTAGGACCAAACAGAGAGAAGGCTTGGAGCTGTACATGATTCACCGCGGAGCCAATTCATGGACCAAGCACAAACTCGAGTCATTCCCCAACAAAATCGTGTACGCCGCGTACCACAACGGGGTCTTCTACTACTTCGACAACACGTGCTTGATGGTGTATTTCTCGATCGAGGATCGGAGGTTAGCCTCCGGTAAGGTAACTTACGCGACGTCGAAGAAAGACAGGTGCCTCCCATTCAGATTCAGTTCCAATCACGAGAAAAAGGACAGGAAGAAACGATTGGCATTGGTACTGGGAGAAGAAGAGTCTCTAGTTTCAACCTGCGGACGAGGGTATCTTGGCACCCTGCTGATGATGATCCCTTATGAAAACACCGGGCAAGCTCAAGTACCTGGAACCCACAAAGGGGTTTGGCTTCAACCTCGTTTCCACCATATTGACGAAAACCAAAGCTGGTGACCACTTTGTTCGGGTGAATTTGATTTTCAGCACTTCTCTTTGAGTTCAAATTTTAGATCATTATCTTTAGGACTATTCTTTTATGAAATACTTAATAAGATCAACAACGGTTTTTTTTTCCTTCTCTGATAAATTTGTTCCTTCAAGTCTCCCTTGGCTTATTTAAAAGAATCTGTACTCTTCAGATATTTTGAGAATTATGTTTCAACGCTTCATGGCTACTTAGATTGAGAAATTTGAGGAAATGGTACTTGCCTACCAAGTGTTTGTGTTTTTGTTTGTGTGAGTTTGCCATGAAATCTCATTTAGCCGTCAGCCGTTCTAGATTTTTATTGGGATAATTTAGCCGTCCCATGCCCATCCTAATGCAAGTAACACAATATTTGACGTAACTGTTTCATTATTTTTTATCGAACAAAATATATTAAAAGTCATTAAATTATACTTTTATGATAATTGATAAGTTTGATTATTAGATTTTAAAATATAAAATAATTTTAAACTTATTAAATTGTTAAAAATGATTATTTTAAAGTTATAATAAATATTAAAAAAATAATAAATTTAATGTTATTATAATCATCTAAAAAATATAATGACAATTTTAAAAATTCAGTAGCATTATTTTTAGTGACATATAGTCTAGTTTACCCTTTTTTCTTTAGCGAGTTTAAAAACGTATTTGATTAAAATATTAACAAAATCATTATTAATATAATATTTCTTAGGGTAAATTATACATTTAGTATCTAAACTATCTATTTGATCCATTTTAGTATCTAAACTTTCATTTTTCAAAATCATATCTAAAGTTTAGTTTTTGTTCATTTTAATACCTTATTCAAAATTTAACGTTAGTTTTTGAATTTTTTTTGAAAGTTTAGGTACTAAAATGGGCCAAAATTAATATTTTAAGTACTAAATGCATTAAGTTTTTAACGGTGGGATGCTAAAATGAAACAAAAACTAAACTTTAGGTATGATTTTTAAAAAATTAAAAGTTTAGGTACTAAACAAATCATAATTGATAGTTTAGATACTAAATATGTAGTTTACCCTATTTTTTAATATTTATAATCCTATTAATTTTTATTTTAATATATATTTTAGAAAAGTATTGGATCCAATAAATAAATGATTACTTTTATTTTCAAAACATATATATGAAATATCTTTTTAAAAACTTTTTCTTATAAAACAAAAAACAAAAATGATTATATTTTAATTTTATTTAAAATTATAAAAATAATATAAAATATTACGTTGATAAGATAACGTAATTATATTTAATATCAAGTAATTTTATGATATAAATTTTTAAAAAATTTAGAAAAATCAGTCCTAAATTAAGCAACACCAAAAATATCCTAAAAACACACTGCAAAGTTATTTTCCTTATCCTCATTGACGGTGAAGGAGGCGCCAAAAATCAATAACCTATTTTTTCGAAGTACCCATCGGATAAGGAAGAAGAAGAGTGAGGTTTTTGAAGGGAAAAAGTGTGAGCTTCTTGAAGGGAAAAAGTGTGAGCTTCTTATGTTATGGCAATAACAGTAGCTAACTGCTGCTTCTCCGCGCTCAGCGCCTCCTTCAAATCCCGTGACTGCCATCTTCGTCTCGCTAATTTCACTTCCACTTCCCTTTCTTGCCTGGACGCCCGCTCTCTTAAAGCCACCAACAATAAGAAACGAGCTCCCAAGAAAAGCTCCGCCGCATCTCCGCGTAAATCCAATGCCGAGGTAAGTAAAGCTTGCAGCACCGGAATTTGCCCTTTGCTTCTTTGAATTAATCATTTTGTATGCCATTGCAAAGTACGTTTTGGGAGGTTTTATTATAGAGCCATACGTATGTGATAATTTCAGCTTGAGGGAATGATTGGTGTTAGTAAGAGAGTGCTCTCCCTGTATGGGCCTTTGAATGTATGTTTTGTAGATTCGAAGAAAATTTGAACTGCGAGTTTGGTTTATGCCACCTAGTTGGCTTGTTCTCTGATCTAATAATGTAAATTACTAAATTGTATTTAATCGTAAGAAGGATTCTGTTTTTACAGAAGAAACTTCCGGGAAGATTGAAAGATGACAAGTCCAGTTTATATGCTGATGGAGGTAGTGGAAAGGGGGGCGCCGGCCGTCCTCAATCAACAGGTTTTAAATCATTTGGTACACAAAGAAAAGAGAAGAAGGAGTTTGAGCTTGATTCAAGGGAACAACAGGTGTACTTGCGAACCTGTACTTTCAAAAGAATTTGTTTTACTTCTACTGCTAGCTGTTGTTGAACATGAAGGAATTTGACTGCAGACTTACAGAATTAAATATATTTGTTTTTATCTATTGCTTGGCTATCTACTAAAGTTACTACTACAAGGCTACGTTTTTGCATATGGAAAAATCCCTTTTTATGATCATTTATGACATATGGGGCCTAGTCGATTGTCTTATTATACTTCTGAAGAACCAGGACCTCATTATGACTCTTTATTTGTTCACAAGGCTAGCTTAGAAAGTCACTTGACTCCAACTCCAATCATCATATACACGATGTAACACTGAAAACGAACAAAGTGCTAATCATGAGAATGTTGGATCCCATGAAAATTTATGAGAACTTTTTTTATTTTGTCTGGAATAGTTATCATTGAAAATTTGTTTTTCAAAACTTCTACAAGCGTGCTTTCTAAATTTCTTACCAAAGCTGTTATTTTATAAAAGGACTATCACATTTTCCACATCATGTGTTTCCATTTCATTTCAGGTTGAACCAGGGAATTTTCAGGATGCAACCTTTCTCAATGCTGTGGTGAAGGTTCGGAAATGATTACAACAAAAAGAAATGTTATGTCTGAAGTATTGTTTCCTTCTGTGCATATCCAAATTGCATTTTTGTGTATCCTTTTTTTTCTAGTTATGTTTATTCTTAAGATGATATAGTTCTTAGCCTTTGAGTCATTGAACCACAAATGCAAGATCTACAAAGCCTTGTCTGTCCCATTCTCCAAAGTGTGCAGGATACACATCATAAGGCTAATTTAGATGGCTAGGTCATAGGGTAGACAAATTCGTCATTTTGGACCAATGACTGACACTTCTGTAGACGAGAAGAAATTGCTTAAAGCTAAATAGGCATTTTGGGTGCTTCTTTAAGCAGTGAGTGATGCATTATTTCTAACCTTTATGATAAGCTTTAGGCAGAACACTGTACTAACCTTTATTATTTTGAAGAAATTGGTCATTAGCGTAAATTTCTTGGTAAGTCATTAATTTACAAAATCTATTTGCTACTTGTTTATGATAAGCATTATTTCTGATCTAGGTTTACTGCACTCATACTGCACCTGATTATTCTCTTCCTTGGCAAAAGCAAAGGCAATATACAAGCACCGGAAGGCAAGATTCTAACCTGTTTCTGGTTGAGGCATATAAACATCTTTTAAGAAAAAACATATAACTGGTTCTCAAGCTTTTCTTATTCCCGTCAAGTGGCTTTTGTCTGTCATTCATCTTTTGTTGTAGACTAGGTTTTACATTTAATTTACGGTTATATTCCTTTTTCTAATCATGCAGTGCTTTCATGATTGGGGATGGGAAGCTCTTAACAAATGCACATTGTGTGGAACATGGTACACAGGTACTCTATTCAAGTTATGGAGTATATAATCGATGCTAAATTATCTGTGAAACTTAGGGGATACAGATATATAGTTGAATCATCATGTAGCTGGATAATATAGCTTTTGAATTTCCTGAAGATATTACTGATTGCTGTTGTTTTTACTGTTTATGTATGTGATCCCAGAAAGCTACTTCTACCATTTCTTATCTAATTAATGGAAATGAGGTTACTTTGTAATTTTAAGAGATATTTAGGATGATATTCATTGGAAGATTTAAGATTTATTTTGGTCTGAAGGATGACTTAAGATTTGGTTTTTGTCTGAAGGAAGATTTAAGATTTTAGGTTCTAAATTTATCAACCAAAAACAGGCCTGCATTAGCTACCTACCACTGAGAATTTAAGCCCTACTAGACACCATCTTTGGCATCTTTTCTGCTTCTGTGTTTACATTTAAAATGTGAAAGAAGAATGGCATATAAGGGAAAGCGAATATAATTCTGGATTGATGTTCAGCATTAATAATTCAGAAGTCATTTATTTTTAGCTACCAATTTGTTAGTTGGATATTTGCATTGTGCGATCATTATGCGGATTTAGATGCATTTAGTTTTAGATTCTTAAGTAGGAATGGCAACGGAGCGGGTTCGGGGCGGGTTTTGCTTGCCCTGTCCCCGTCCCCGAAATGAATCCCCGACCCTGGCCCGATCCCCGTCGGGGATTTTTTTTGCCCTGTCCCCGAAGCCGACCGGAAAATTATACTCAAACCCGAACCCGAAAATATTATATATATAATTAATATAAAAAATATAAAATATTATATATATATATAATCGGGCCGGGCCGGGGATACCTTGCCCCGTCCCTGTCCCCGACCCGAAAAACCCTGATACCATTCAAACCCGACCTGACCTGAACTTGACCGGGTTTCGGGTTTCACCGTCGGGTTCAGGTCATTCTGCCATCCCTATTCTTAAGTTGTCTTTATTAAGATTAGTAGTGCACATGGACATCTTGACCTTGGTTATCTGTTGAAGTAAATAAAGTCATCAGGAGTTTCATATTAGCCATTTTAGTTTTCTCTCTAATAACTTCGAGCTGTTATTTATTTGTTTACATTCCTAGTCTACTATGATTGCATTTTGCTGTTGTGTTCAGTTGATTATTCATTCTATTTGTTTTTATCTTTTGCGACTACAGGTTAAAGTAAAGAGAAGGGGAGATGATACCAAATATGTTGCTAAGGTATTGTTCCTAATAAATTTTAATGATGTTTGACCAGAAGTGGTATCTTAAATTTTGTTAGTACTTTATCAGACATAATATCATGAAAACAAAAAAACTAACTTATATAGTTTCTCATTATAACATGTGACTTCAATTTAATATATTTCTTTAAGATACTTATAAAAGGGATAGTATGTCAAATGAAGATATCTGCATGGTGATGCACATTGTTGGCTAGTAAGATATTGTTTGTAAATATGATAAGGAATTTTAAGATGTTCAGGTGATGCAGGAGCATAATTTTCTAATTTTTATTTTATTATTTCAGGTTTATTTTATAACATTTATTAATTATAGATTTAGGATAGATCGCTAAGGCTAGGGCTATTAGGTACTGTTAGGGATATTAGGTATATTTAGAGTTTAAATCTAGGGTTAGGTTTAAAACTTTGCTTGCAAGAAAGCAAGCATATGTAAGTAAGTTGTAGGCTTTAAAGCCAACACAATAAATCTCGTTAATAAAGAAAAACTAATAGTCTTTAAACCCTAATTTTTCCTAGAGTTCCAACTTTCAAACTAGTTTTTAGCCTAGTTTCTTTTTGATTTGCTGCTGCTTTTTCTCCCATTACCCACATAATCAGGTCATGAGTTGTACTGCTTGTTCAGTATTATTAAAACCTTACAATTTAGTATCTTCTCATGATATGCTGAACAGGTTTTAGCTAGAGGTGTTGATTGTGACATAGCTTTGCTTTCAGTAGAGAGTGAAGAATTTTGGAAAGGAGCTGAGCCACTCCGCTTGGGACACTTGCCGCGTCTTCAGGTTTTGAATAGCCCTTTTACTTTATTTTTTTTAAATCATAGAATTATTCTCCCAGTGCATTTTGCAATACCTCATGCTTCATCTTGACTCTTAAAGACAATGCTGTTGATTAATTGCCTTAATAAAATTAACAATTGTTCAGATTCAGCTGAGGAACTATGATAAAAGAAATTCCAATGGTCTTTGACCTTTCTTTGGTTTATTTATTTGATTTGGGTCCGTGATATGATCTGCTATCAAAGCAAATTCATGCCACACTAAGTAGCTCCTCCATGTTTGATTGTCTTATAAGGTCATAAATTTGTATAAGCTTTGTGTATCATTAATGTCTTTGTGAGAGATTCTGCATACCTGCCTATCTGTATCATGCTCTAGATATGACGTAGTGTTAAACAGCATGAAGTCCATAGCTTAAACTACACTTCAGAACAGTAATATAAAATTTGCTCCATTTTTCTTTTTATCAATGCGACATTCAAAGTCCTTCATTCTTCAACTTTAGTAGATCATGCTAAGTTGGCAACTATAATTTTCTTTTTGAAGTTTTTTGAGCCATTTCTGTTCTGTTTTCTTTATGGGCAGGATGCAGTAACTGTCGTGGGATATCCCCTAGGAGGAGACACCATTTCAGTGACAAAGGGAGTTGTATCTCGTATAGAGGTTTGATTCACCCCTTCAAAGTGATAATTGGAAGCATCCATCAGATTTTGCCCCACATTATAATTACTTTGATGCCCGCATCCATGTGTTCTTTATTCTTGATGAATTGTCAAATGAAAAACAGTATCAAATTTTCTCTCTGATATCATTCTACTTCAGGTCACTTCATATGCCCATGGCTCATCTGATTTGTTGGGCATTCAAATTGATGCTGCAATAAATCCTGGTCAGTGAGTCATTCAAATTTATATATAAGCATTTCATCAACTCCCTTTTCAAAAGGTGTTGCCCCTATCATTGTGATAGTCTTTGCTTATACTTGGTAGATTTTAGGTAATAGTGGTGGTCCTGCATTCAACGAGCAGGGAGAGTGCATTGGGGTTGCATTTCAGGTACATCTTCTGTGTTAATTTTGATGAACTTCAAAAATTTCGAATTATGCCAAAATAAGTTAGCAAATACTTGGTAGTTTTAAAATACTTTATTTAGTTTAAGGTTATGTTTCCTTTTTTTCATGATGCCATTGCCTACCATTTTTCTTTAAAATTTTTGTTCATGACTAAAGCAAGCATTAATTGTTCATTTTGGTGTTGTACCTTAGTTGAATTAATTATTAAGGTTATGTCAAAATTTGTAAAGTATCATATTTGGTCCTATTTTAATTTATCAACTATTATCTTTTTCATCATATATTCATGCTTCTGCTTTGTCCCTCATAATCTTTTCTTCCCCCTAACTACCACTTATTAAATTATGTATTAATGGGAGAGTTCCTTTAGGTTTACAGATCTGAGGAAGCTGAAAATATTGGTTATGTGATACCAACTACAGTTGTATCTCATTTTCTGAATGATTATGAGAGAAATGGAAAATATACAGGTTAGAATCTTTTCCTAATTTGCACTTTTGGTGGTGCTTTCATGAGTGTGTGGAATATGTATTATACCTGCTTGTAAATCCGTGTGAATATATTTGGAATTTAAGAAGTAGTGCATTAGGTACTTCTTCCTTTTCACCATGTTCGTTGTTTATGCTAGTGTTTAATTTATGATACAAATTCATTCTTGTGAGTTTTAGAGATGTAGTAGCTTCAATATATCTGTTCACATCCTTCAAAGATGTTGATCCATAAGGTTCTTAGTTTAGGTTCAATTCATTTGGTTTCTTTCCAAAACACACTACTTGGATCTACAATTAGATTTTCTCTGTCTTCATTGCATAATTGTTTGTGTATTTTCATAATTTGCACATAATTGCATGATGAACGGAGTATATCTTAACAGAGTAAAATGCTTTCAAATAAATCTTGCCACTTGCTCCGAACAAGCCACTTTTGGATTTACAGTCATCTCTTGTAGCCCGTCGCTTGAACTAATCATTATGCTAAATATTATTTTTCATCATTGACTATCATTCTATTTCTGATTTGTGATTTACACCTAGTAGTTAAGGATGAATATCGGAGGTACATGGCATTTTCTACAAAAGTAAAATAAAAAAAATAAAGCCATTCATTGCATTCCAGGTTTCCCTTGCCTTGGTGTATTGCTGCAGAAGTTGGAGAATCCAGCACTACGTGTGTGCTTACAAGTTCAGTCTAATGAGGTACTTATGCTACAATTGACTCGGCATAGCAAGCAAATGCACACGCTAACTTGTGCAGATATTTCCAATGCTATTTTAAACTTAGTAGTGTCAAGTCAATTGAGCAGCTCATTTCCGTAGATATTTCCAATGTAAAAGTTGACTTCCACAGGGTGTGCTTGTTCGAAGAGTGGAACCTACTTCGGATGCAAATAATGTTCTAAAGCAGGTATGTTGGCAATGATCACTAGTATGAAGCATGTTGCACCTTTAGTTATATTTTATTGTTCATCTCAGTTTTCTGTTCTCACACACGTCTTATTTATTTCTAGTGGTTGTCACGAGAGACCAATTTTCTCACAAATGATAACAAAAGCTTAATGTCAAGGATTTATTTCGCTTGTTTTCAGACATTGTGTATATCTGAAATTAAAGATAATCCTTATTTTACATTTACCTTTTCAGGGGGATGTGATTGTCAGTTTTGATGATGTTCATGTGGGTTCTGAAGGAACAGTTCCATTCAGATCAAACGAGCGCATTGCATTCCGCTATCTCATAAGTCAAAAGTAATTGGCCCTCACAGTTCCCGTATTTCTTCAAGCATTTGTTCCATATTCCTGTAATATAATAAGCTAGTCTATGTATCCAATTTAAGCTCTCTTACAGATTTGCAGGGGACGTAGCAGAGCTTGGTATTATTAGAGCAGGAAAATTCATGAAAGTACAAGTAGTATTAAACCCAAGAGTACACTTGGTATGCAGTTAAAGTTTTGGCCTTCAACTAAAACATACGGCTCCAAAAATATCTGTTAGATTTGCTTTCATTTAGTGCGAATAATGATTTAGTTCCTTTTGTGGGTGGTATTCCAGGTTCCCTATCATATTGATGGAGATCAACCTTCATATCTAATTATTGCTGGTTTGGTTTTTACTCCACTTTCAGAACCATTAATTGTGTAAGTGTGGAATAACTCCAGCAGTTCATTCAATTCTTTTGGTGAATGGATTTAACAATTTAAGGCTATTAATGCTGGTCGTGCATTTCATGTCTAATTTTCAGGGAGGAGTGCGAAGAATCAATAGGAGTAAGTTGGGAAACTCCCGAAGCATGATATTCTACTAATATGTGTGTTTTGATCTCTGTGTTTTTAAGGTTTGACATTTAATTGTGCATTATTCTTCTTAGTTGAAACTGCTGGCTAAGGCACGGTATTCTTTGGCAAGGTTCAAAGGGGAACAGATTGTAATCCTATCACAGGTACGATGCTTATGACATTTTGTATGTTGATATTTAAGGCAAACTCTCACTTAATATGCTTTTGCATTAATGTCATAATAATCTGCTGGGGTTTACGAGATGAAACATGATTATCTCTTGTCATAACCATTCTTCAAAACTATGACCATCGTATTGCCGAGCATGGTTTTCCTTCACCGGAATCTTGAAAACAATATTTCGGTGCATGGGATTTCACATTTTTTTATCTCGTCTTCAATAGGTATTGGCAAATGAAGTGAACATTGGATACGAGGATATGGGTAACCAGCAGGTTGGTTTTATATATATCCTCCTGATTTGCCCTTCCAATTTATTCGGATGTGTTAAAACATAGAAGTTTCAGGTTTTGAAGTTCAATGGAACTCGAATAAAGAACATCCATCACCTGGCACACCTTGTTGCTTGTAAGTCCTAACATCATCATCACCACCATTCATCTTATTGTTAAGTAGTTCTCATGGCAGCCTGTATTCTGGTCAGGTTGTCAAGACAAGTATATGGTTTTTGAATTTGAAGACAATTACCTAGCTGTCTTGGAGAGGGAAGTAGCTGTAGCCGCCTCAGCTTGCATTCTAAAAGATTATGGCATTCCATCTGAAAGATCCGATGATCTTTTAGAACCATATGTTGAATCACTTGAAGACAACCAAGCGGCCGAGCACGACTTTGGAGATAGTCCTGTTTCAAATTTGGAGATAGGTTTTGATGGTCTCCTTTGGGCTTAATTTATTAACGGTTTCAAATCATAGGTTGGGTAGCAAAGGTCAGACGATAAAAGAAAATCGTTGATTGGAAACCTACGACTGGTTTTGAGAGCAGCGTCAATTAGCCTTAGCCAAGTCGAAGTTTCAGTGGCTTATTAGCCTTTAACCCTCATATGTGGGGTTGCCTTCATTTTTTTTATTTAAATAATTCAACTGTAACATTTTGCCAAGATTTTTAGATTTGATAAAGGGGGCATAGCATAACAGGTAAACAGGGTTGCATGCATAAAATCGGAATTGGGTGGGCGTTTTATTTCAAATTTGATTAATATTGTAGATTTGAGAAAGGGCACCACCATCCTCCTTTCTAAGATATAACTCGTACCACATTCTTTTTAGATGTTCACAAATGGTAAGAGAATTTGTTGCTAACATCAAATTTTATATGTGCATTTAAGTTTATGTAATGAAGTAACTTACATGAAATATTCACGTTTTACGTTTGAGATCGAATGGACTGAAATTCCGTCATCGATATGTGTTGTTCGAACGAAGATCAGAAACACTTAAATGCTAAAACATTTTTCCCGTTTTCTTTGGGTGGGGTTTTAAGAGAACGTTCGACTCCAGAATGGCTTGCGAATCTGGAGGCTTCAGGGCTTTCTGGCTTTATCACAACATATTCCAACTTCCCTACCTACTTCTAAATCGAGAGCCACTACGAATTTACAATAATTTCAGAGGATCTGATTTCCACCTAATATTTACAAAAGCCATGTGAATCCATATATATATATATATATATACATACATACATTCGCACACTAGGCAGATCCTTAAATCCAACCATCTTTCCCTGGTGCAAAATTCAGTGAAGAAGAGGTTCTGTTGGTGAGCCAGGAATAATTGGCGCAAAACCTCTCCCACCAAACATGGGACGCATGACGCTGTCATCAAACTTGCGCCAGTAGTAGTGGACAGTATTAGCTAGGAGCATACGCAGGCTGGTTGGACGGGGGATGATGTCCTTACCCGCTTCAGCATCTGCAATTTGCCCGTCGGCAATAAGTGGCAGATCTGCCATCGGCTTTGGAAGAAAAGGATCGAGAATCAGAGGATGCAGTGCAGCTAAGGTTCTTGCTCGGCGGCAGCAACAGCCTTACTAGAGGCTTCGTCAATAATCCAAACACCTGAAACAAAGACAATCAATCTTACATGATATGGCACAATATGTCACATCTGATGCACGAAAAAGTTTTGCAGCGCTTTCTTTTGACAAATTGCAGTCTTTGCTTCCTAGTTCCTTGTTCTACCGTGCCGAGTTCTTACGTAGCCACCCATCTAATACCACAGGCTATCTTATTCCACATTAGGGTCGACCTCGCCTTTTTAGTTAATCCTAGTGTTTAGGGCAGGTCGACCTTGCCTTTCTAAAGCAAAGGTCTAACATTAAAGGTTTATACAAATACCCCTGGGTACAGTCATTAAGATATCTATGACTATGTATGTAAGTAAAAGCATGGTTATTGACTTAACGACAAGAGAATAATACATTATGGTGAGAGAAAATTTTCAAGGAATCACCACTAAGAAAGTTTCCCTTGACAAAATTATGCGGGGTAGACCACATCATTATTGAGAAACAGTTCTAACTTTAGGTTGAGTCCTTACCACAGTACTGAAAAGGACAACAGTGATAGTGCTGGCTATCATAATGGCATTTCCTCGCAATTAAGTGTGCCCCGATCTAGTTAACTGCATGCATCCAATAAATTACAACTTCGGTGGCAAGAACCAAAGCGGAACAGCAATTATAGTGTTCTTTACAGTTAACACTGAAAGAAGAACGTCAATATGACATGCCAAAAGCAAATGCACCTCACAATGACTGCAGTAAATGGATGGTGGTCGTCCAAGAATTCACAACGTTTTGGTACACGTTTCTCAATTTATAGAAAATCATGATGAAGCATTCATCTTACCATACATCATTATTTGATCAGGCACTCAAATGCCAAATTTATACCATTTTCACTGCAAAAAATTCTCTCCTCTAACGAGGCAAACAATTCAGAAAGCCAGCAAATTCATCCTGAGAACATAAAGTTCTATGCCTTACTACTATTATCTAATATTGATGTCAAAAACAATATTGAAATGATTATTGAGCAAATTCATGCTGAGTACATAAAGTTATATACCTTACTACTATTATCTAATATTGATGTCAAAGTCAATGTTGAAATCAATGAAATGATTATTGATTTATGTTTGTTCAGCTTTTGGGAAATAAATCAATCACAATGCAGAAGTCTCGAGATCATACATCCTATCACCTAATTTACCTGATTATAAGCAAGCGCCACAGACACAGAACCTCGCATGATCCCTCCCACCATATAGTAACCTGTTTGACTTGAATAATTCAGTACATCAAGAATGCCAGAGGGAAGAAAATCTAAAATATAACTCAAAATGTCGACCTGTTGCATCAAAGTAAATTTGTCCCTCTCAGCCCTTTTGAATAAATTGGATATAAATGATAGAGGGAATACAGAAGCTGGCCTTCCGACTAGAACTAAGCCAAGAAGTATTGAGCTAACCCCCGCAGATGTTCCGGGACTACAGAAACACACAATATATCCAACTGAGCAGTCAATTGATATTGAGAGACATCGCTTTGATATTCAAGTTAGATAACATTTAATGAAAATAAAAAGCACACAATGGTAACTGATAAACATACAATATTGACCATCTATATTACTTGACATTACGTGATCAATTTCTTGATATGGTTAAAGATGAAGATGAAAAGATCAAATCTCTAAAATTATCTATGCAACACGACAAGACAATATAAATGAAACTGTACTTTAGCCAAAAATATAGGAATCGCCTTTTGCTAACAACATTCCACTTCTCTATATCCAAAGCATTCATACCAACATATAGGAAGATGAAAATCTCTGATATGAATGATAATGTGGCAAAAGCATGCCTGCAATGATCAATAATCAGCACAAGAATGTAAAAACGTGTCTATCTGGCTTTGATAAAGAATGCCTTAAAAAAGGAAAGGGAAAGAAAGACAATTACAAACAGAAAAGCTTTTCAACATGTGGGGACTAAACTCAGTCACATTATGCCAGGTGTAGTGTGACATAACAATGCCACAAAAGAACACTGTAAGAATACTGCTCAAACTGAACAACTGAAAAGCAAAATCATTATCAGAGAAAACAAGGAGCAATGTAAAAACAGCACCTGAATATTAGAAAGATAGATCTTTAGGCACACAGTCATAAAAAAGAATACTTCAGCCATCATATATGAGAGGTAAGCCATGAGAATCATGAGAGCAACTTCACGATCAGTAGACTGCCTAAATTATAAAGATAAAGGAAAGGACGTGAAGTGAGGAGCCTCTAATGCATCTCTGTGGTAATTAACCTACTTACCGTATCAGTAAGACATCTCAAGTATTAATTTAATTTTTAGAGGCATGTATAAATTATATGTTTGGTAGCTCTTATTGATTTCTATTTAAAATGGTCTGTAATAATAAAGTAAGCCTGCTTTATTTTATTTAGCATAATTATATATGATAATATGATCGAATAGTATTATATCATAAAATGTTTTAAAGAGGAAAAACCCAATGATTTTAAAGTCAGTGACATTTAGACAGTTTCATAAGTGTTGCGAAACAACACTACATTGCCTAATTATTGTCTAAAATTAGTTTTGATTTTAATGATAGATTTTATTTTACGATATTACTTGACTATCGAGACATATATAATTTATTAATATGAGCTTTTAAAATGGATCAACATTTTAAGAGTTTCAGTTCAAAGATAGTAGGAATGTTTGACGTGACATCTATAACTCGTATTTCGAGACGTATACAGATTATGGGTGTTACAGTCTCAATTTCATTTTTGTTGTTTTGAAGAAAAAAAATTAGATTAGGTGATGCCATAGAGTAGTAATATTTATTTAGTATTTTTTTAATATATTGATAATAAATATCTTACAGACGTAACTGTTCAAGTTTAAATATTCTTAAAACATAATATTTTTTTATTATCGAGACTATTGAATGAGTTATTAATACTTAAGACAGGCAACAGTTCGGATATCATGCGACTTCTCATGGTCATGGTTATCACTCTCGACCTGGCGGTTTTTTGCATCCCACCACCTCCTCGGCGAGCTATAGTCGTCGCCAGGCGTGTAGCACGAGAAGGTCCTGGATCATTTTGTTTGGTCAGTGGTTTACTTGCTTCCCAAGGTAGCTGTGTTGGGGAATTTTGTTTTCTAGTTCATATAGGGTAACCTGTGTTCTTGAATGTTGGCACTACTCAGCATAGAAAAAGCTTCAGTCGAGTTGTGTTCAGAATATGATAGTGATATAAATGTATCAGGTTTCTTGTGGATGAACCATGGACTACACAATCTTAATTCTATAGCCGAATCATTGGCGGTAGCCCACACTACATGAAAATATTGATCATTCGAAACAGTTACGGATTCAGGATTCTTATGCGAGTGCACGACAGTATATGTACAATCTCCACCATGTAAAAGTGAGAAAAAAGATTATGGAAGTAATTTTCAGTCTTTGTTATATACATACAACCTACTTGAAAGCATGGCTACCTCTTCCTCCAATGTGGCTAGTCACTGAATATACCATAATAGTTTCACTGTGATAAAACCAACTTGATTCAGCAGCATCACAGGTATCCTCAAAGGCAGTCCGGACTTCCAAAGACAGCAATCGTTCTTGCCATTCCACGACATCACCATAAAGGTATTACTGTTCTCCGCTAGTGGGGCAGCGATAGCTGTAGGGATGCCAATATGGTAACTCGCATGAGCATTGGATGAAGGTCTGCTATTTTTTGGCAGCATTTGTCAACGAATGAATGTCGGCTTCTATAACCATGTCGTTGGTGGGGTGGTTGGTTTTCTTTTGGCTTGCGGCACTTTCCATTCTCGATCTTCAGAAGATATTGTCATATTGAGGTAGATGGGAGTTGAGAAGGTGATGGAGGGTCATAAATATTAGTATCCCAAACAAAAAGTAGGTCTGCTGGTTGTTAAATCTGTAACCATGCTGGTTGGTGGGTCTCATTACAAGGTGAGACTGAAATATTATGAATACAGGACGCGTAAGTTTCACCAACCATTGTTTTATTTGCATGAACATTATTGAAAAAAGTTCCCAAGATTCCAAGTAGTATTTGACAATCTGTAATGTAGAAAGAACGGTTAGAAAACAAGTCTAAAACCTCCAAATTTGAAGTTCAGGGTGCTTTTTCTTAGACTTTCTGCAGAAACTATGACCTTGAAAGTTAAAAAATGGTGATTGGATCGGAATGCCTAACCCTACACGGAAAAACCAGAAATTTTCTAACAAAAAGAGAGGACAAAACGGAATAAACCAAATAACCTATATATGATGTATTGATGTGAAGCTTTATCTAATTTTCAGGCATGGATCATATAAGGTATTAGAAATCAATATAATGGGTATAAAAGCTAAACACTATTTGCATAAATCATAGAATTTTACAATAAATCTGTATCTTACTATGATTTAGCTTCTAAAGAACCAAGAATACAAATCAATTCCAGTCTCAAAGTTGTTTACCAGTGTCTCATCGCTCTATCTTTGCGAAACGTCCCTTAATTCTTGTCCTGCTATCAGCTCTAACCTTTCTTGATTCATACCTGATGTGCTTGCCAAACCTGTCACGATTCAAAGAAACATTACAGAACAAAATGCAGACGAAAGAACAAGTTGATCTACTAAAAGATTAAAAGCAGATTAGAATTTCGACAGTTAGATTATACAGGCATGTGTTCTACTGCAGTAGCAGAATGCTTCGTCAACTTCAAGAAAACCATGGAATGGGTTGTTTGAGTTAACAATATAGATTGAAGATGTCAAATACGAGACAGAGTGAAGCAATACCTCCTTGTTTTCCTTTTCTCCTTGTAACGTGAGATTGCAGTCTCTCTCTCCTGGCTATTTAACTCGTGAACAGCAACCTTTGGAAGAGCTGACGTGGTTCCGGCATCGTTTTGAAGTTGTAGTTGGTTTTCAAGACTATCACTCAAAGGTGTTGTCTTGCTAGAACCTGGATGTTTATCAGGAACCACAGCAGTTTCCTCAGTATGGTCTATTAGTTGGGAAATAGGCACAAATACTTGACTGGTTGTCTCGACATTGTCATTGAAGCACCGTAGTGCACTCGACTGCATGAAGGGAAAAACGATCAGTACCCTAATTCAGGTAAACAAGCCAAAGTTCATATTTTAAGATGCTCCCTAAATACCAAACAAATCCATTGGAAGGCAGATAGTGAAAGCAAATCAAATGATGTAATCTATCATCAACATAAAGTGTAAGCTATACTATTTTCTCCATAGCCAATCTGTACCTTTCGTTTCCAGAATTATATCGAATATCTAGAAACAGAAAAGGTGGTTCATCTATCAATCGGTATCCCATACGAACTCAGTGTTCGGTATGGGGAACGTTACATATTGAGAAAAGGACTGCAATCAAGGAAATACAAAAGCTGTTGGAGATAACTACAAAAAGGAAATGCATACCTCGTAAGCAGGAAGCAAAATTGGATTTGTATCGTTTTTGAAACTTGTATGCACGGTTCCTGGCTGCAAATTATCAGCATCAGGCATCCGTGGCTGGAACCCATCAATGGCTTCGAGAACAGTCTTTCCAAAGCCGAGGGTAGGTTCCGACTTCGCCAGTTCACGCAGCTGATGAATTACCTCCACCTTGTGTTGTCCACAAGAAGCATTACGATTCTGATTCAAAAACAGTACATGGATCCGTGTTATATGTTAGCAAACAATAGTGAATTCAATCAAATACATAACATCATGAACATGAAGCCTCAATTCCCCGGAACAAAAAAGTGCAAGCAAAGGCTAAGAAATTTGTAGCTAAAGGCAAACAGTTCATCTCAAATCTTCTTTGTTGTAATTACCCTACAACCACAGCAGTAAAACCTCAATAAATCAAGTTGTCTAACTTAATTTGATCGTGAAAAGTTCAATAAAAAAAATAAGTTCATGTACCATAAAATACCAGAACCCTCACGGGTTTCATTTTGCAAACGAACAATTTGATCAGAACCCCAAACTTCCAAAATTCATCCAGTTTACAAACAACAATTCAATAACTCTTCACAAGAAAAAGGTACAACTTTTAACTTCTCTAACACGTTACACGTCCTAGCCAACCACCATAAACCCGCCATAAATGCAAGAGGATGAAAAGTTCCAACTTGATACCTACCTTGGGCAAAGGAAGAACATCCGTCGGCTTAAACCCATGATCAAAATCACTCGAAACAAGCAAATCATCAAAGCTAGAAACCACCGGAGTTTCCCAGCTTGACAAATCCAACCACCCATCGTCCTCACCATGGCCACCTTCCCTTTCACTCAAAATCGGAGCTTTATCACCCAAATCATCAACCCCAACGAAACTCACCAGCTCAGTCACCGAAGGACACCCAGTAAACCCTTCTATGGGCCTCCTCTTGTGCAACGAAGACGAGGGAAACTTGTGGCTTTCCCTTTCCCAATCGCAATTCGAGCAGAAAACAGATTGATCCGTTTCGCAAAAGATGGAAGCGGGGGAATCATCGCAGGCGTCACAGAGCTGTGACCGAGCGTGCCTTGTGAATAGCTGGTTGGCTGAGTGAACTTCCCTGTCGCACGAAAAACATAGCTTGGCCGAGTCAGCTCTGCAATATAAAAGAGCCGTGGATTCATTGCAATAATCACAGAGTCTCCTCTGTTTCTGGTTAATTTCCTGATCAGTCATGTGTAACTGGTAGACCAGTCCTTTTTTGTTTTTTTTTTTTTTCTGGGTTATATAAAAGGAAGGAGTTTGTCTGGGAGCGAAGAGAATAATATAGAATTGAGAGATGGCGCCAAGTTCTGGGTGGTTTGCTTTGAGTGAAGAAATGAAATGGTGGGAACAGAGAGAGGGATTCTAATCATTTTTCTTGGTTCCCAAGTTGTGTTTAAATGAGTTGGCTGATATTTTTTCTTTGGATAAAATGTGGAGATAGTCCCTTATGTTTTTGGTTTGACTAACTTTGATCACAAATTTAAAAATTAAGGGGGGAATGGTCTATCCTTTATCGATTTGTTCGATTATAGTCTCTAACATTATTGATCTATTCGATTTTAGCCCCTTGATCTTTAACTTTCATTCGATTTTAGTCTCTTAACCGTTAACTCCCATTCGATTTTAGTCCATTAGCCTTGTCATGGACTTAAACAAAATGGGTGGTTTTATTATGACATGATTGAGACAATGAAATTCACGATGGATCGCAAGTAGTGATGTCAACGGGTCGAGTTAGGTTTGTTTTAGTGGCGGAATTTGGTGATAGATATTGAGGAAGTTAACTTAAATTTTTTAAAAGTTTAGAGATTGAAATTAAAAATTTTAAAGGATTCAATTTACAATTTTCCCCAAAAAATTGGGTCTATCTAAATTTATTGAAAATCTAAGAGACTTAATGAGAATTTTTTAAAATTATGAGAAAAATTTAATTAAAGACATTCAAAAAAAATTAAAGCTTAATCTAAAATTGTAAAAATTTGTGGGGGCGAAGTTAAACTTTTTGAAAATTTAAGGGTTAAAATTATAATTTTTCAATTTTTTGGGGGCCATGCCCCATTGTGTTCCACCTCTAGCCGAGTTTTTTTTTGCGATTCTACCGGACCTAAAAATATACACTATAATTTGAACTGACCAAAAAAATTTATATCTTACATCCGACCTGACTCGACTCAAAAAATAATTAAATTTTTTTTAAAGTATAAATTCGACCTAACATAATCTAATATAAATTAAATACTTAATTAAAAATAATTAAAATTTTAAAAAAATTATATTATTATCCTCGAGTCAGGTCGATATTTTCATCATCCACGTTAAACCTAATTTTACCCGACTTTTCTTATTAAAAAAATGTGATCCGATCAAACTCAAAACTATTTCTTAAAAAAAATCAAATCCGATCGAATAAAATCAAAGCCGTGGCTGAGATGATCATCCCTAAATTCACGAGAAATTGCTGTTGGAGTAAGCTTATTTGTTGACTCGTCAATTCAAAAGAAGACAAGAAAAGGTCATGTGTATGGATTACATAAGCATGCTAGAAAGTTTGATTAGAAAAGAAAAATCATATAATTTCAGCCATACAACTCGTGACTCACACTAACCGACAAAAACACTTGAATAATGCTTGAAGTACACCCGTCAAATTATTTCTCCAAATAAGGTGAGTTCTACAGTGATGCATGAGCGGATGAGGATGCTGTTGCTTTACAGGGGACGAAAAATCATGATTTTCAGAATCGGATCGGTTAGCGAACCGGTCATGTTATCAGTTTATTGGTTTAACCGATCGAATCATTTTGACCGGTTGGAAGAATCGGAATACGTCATAATTATTTAAAAAATTAAATAAAAATACCAAAAATATTTAATAAAAAATAATTTTGTATATCACAAGTCATATTCAAAGCAAGTCATAACATATATGAGTTAAAAACCATAAAATCAAGTGAAACAAAATGATTCAAATTAACTACAACATAATATTTAAGGTAAAACATATTAAATAATAAATATAATTATATAACTATAATTAAAAAATAAATTTGGGGCTAAAAAAATCATAACAAAATGATATTGTTTGGTTTAATTTTTTTTCCAATTTTTTTAAAAAAACAATCTAACATGGCTAAGAAACATAGAATAACATCCCAAAAGTCTAAAGAGTAAAAATATAAGAACAAAACAATTTCACATAGCTAAGAAACATAGAAGAGCATCCTAACTAACTTTTATAAATAATAGAGGTAGTTTGACATTCAAAATCATAGAGCCTTTTGGTGAACATAAAGTGAACTATTCTTTCACTTCAATCAAGTTCTAATTTTAGGTTTTAATCGAGCTTCTAAATTTTTTTTGAGTTCAAGCCTTTTCGAATTCAAGTTTCAATATTATATTTCGAGTTCGAGTTGAACTTGATAATTTTTAGTTCGTGAGTTTGAGTCGAGTTGAGCTTACTTTTAAAGTGTGAGTCGAGTTCAGCAATACTCGAGTTCGACTTTGCTCGTTTAACAAACGACGTCGTTTGGTTTAATTTAAAAAAAAAATTGGCCATTTTTTTCCGATTTTTCCTGGTTTTTTCCGGTTTTCAACTGGTCCGGTTCAAGCGGTTTAATGGTTCTGGCCCGTTCACTAGTAGCGGTTCAACCGGTTTAATTTGAACTGGACTAAACAACAGTTCCCGATTTAACCGGCCGGTCCGGTTTTCAAAACAATGCAAAAAATACATTGAAGAAGTATAATAAATTAGTAATCCCGATATCAAACTGCTTATCACTTGAATTAATCCCTATTAATACAAACCCATTAAATTTAATAAAAAATATTAAATTTTTAAATCCTATTTCTAAATATATAGATCCATAATTGTTGACAACAACAATGTAGCAACGACTAGTATAAACCTTACCAGCGTGGAGGTTGGAAGGAACAACACCACACCACACCACGAGGCTTTAAATCACATATCTTATCATTTTATGACTGAGTTATCATTAAGGGTGAGCGTTTAATAGAATCAAGTAAAGTAATTTTTTTTTGAATTATTCGAATTGATGAGTCTTATTTTACAACTCAGAGTTGATTTGAAATTTTTTCGAGTTGAGTCGAATTTATAGAATTCAAGTCGAATCAATTTTTTCGAGTCTCTATTTATAATATTATAATATTATTTGATTTCAAATTAAATAACTTTCTATAAACATATATACAATACAAATATATATATCTTCATTTTTTTTTTTAATATGCGATGTACACATATTATACAAAGTCCAATGACTTTATTCCAACTTAAAAATAAATTCACTAATTACTAAAAATTTCGAGTTATTCGAGTTGCATTCCACAATTCGATATGAACTTCAAATTTTTTCGAGCAGAGTCGAGTTTATAAAATTATAACTCGAAATCAATTCTAATCGAGTTTTATTCATCCATAATTATATCATCTAAGGTAGCACTGTGCTCCCACTGACTTTTCTCTTGACTTTTACGTAACACCTAGTAGATACTAGGCTGACTTGTATTAATTTAAGTAGTCTATCATTTGTAAAAGACATCAATTTCAATGATCTCGTTACAGTTTTAAAAACTCAAACTGTTAATGAATTAATGTTACGTTTGTTTGAGGAAAAACATTTTGCATAAAACATTTTCTTTATTTTTTAGTGTTTAATTGGAGGAAAATTAGTTGATCAACGTAAAATATTTTTATGATCAACAAAATTTTCTCTGTGTTTTATGGAAAATGACTTACGGTCTGATTTTCTGTAAATCATTTTTTTTGAACTTTTCACTTCAAAGAATAAATACTTAAAATAATTTTATTTCATGAATTTAATATTCATAAATATTTTAATATTATTTTAATCAAAATATTAATTATTAAAATATTTAAAATATATTTATTTATATTTCTAATAATATAATATTATATTTTTAATATTATAATAAAATAATCAATTATATTATAATAATATAAGATATTATATTTTTATTTTAATAATATATAATAAATTATTAATTAAATTTATATTATTTATTAAATTCATAGAAATAATATTATTAAATTATTATATAATAATCTAATAATATTTTAATAAATATATTAATTAATATATTAATTAATATTTTTGAAATATAATATAACACTATTAATTTAATAAATAGTTAATATAATTTATAATATTTTTATTTCAAAAAAATATACCAATATTAATTTTTTTATTAATAAAACTATAAAAATAATATTTTAATAATAAATAAATTGTTTAATATTTTAAAAATAATAATATTAAGTTTTATGATAAATAATATTATTTATTATATTTAATATTTGTAATAAATAATTTTTAAAAAATTCATCAACTAGTAAAAAAAGGGTTTAAACATATCGTAAAACGTTTTTCAAAAAATATTTTTTAGAAAATATAATTCATTTTACAAAAAAATATTTTTCGAAAAACGTTTTCAGTGAAACAAACTAACCAAGCCACTCTAAATCCACCCTATAACCCACAATTTTCTCTTCGGCTACTATAAAATGACTGTTTTGTACAGCTATTGTCAGCTCAAATTAAAAACCCAAGGACCAAAATGCATTCCATGCTATAATACAGGGACTTGCACTTTACTTTAACCTCTTCCATAACTTGTAAAATCTCATAGCATGCACATGGTAAGACTGGTCAACAAACGTAACCTTGTTGTTGGGATTTTTCCTATTCTTTAACAATTTTATCTGCTCACTTATCTCTTGTTTGAATTTCAGATATTATTGCTAAACAGATTGCTATATCTGTGCATATATGTGCTGCTGTTATGTGCTAAAGATGTAGAATAAGATTATTCTTTTCAACCTATTTTCTATTGCTCTCTCTCTACAGCATATTTTTTTTTGGATCCAATTGGATCATTACAAAATGGCAGATCGGCATGAAATCAGCTTCTTCACGTCCTCCTTGATATTTTCTGCATGCGGTGCAACATAACACAAAGGAAAGGATTAGAATGCAAAAAAGTATTTAACATGGTTAGACAGTAACAGATCTAGAAATATTTTTCAGCGTGGACAAATGTATATTAATAGTAAAAAATTTTTTTGTATGAAGACAAATAAAATTTCAAGATGAATACCTTAAGTAAAATAAAAAACTAACATAAAAAAATTCGAGTTCGAGGATGGGTACGTACATCCGCCACCATGATTAAGCTGAAGTTCCATTGATGACAAACTCACAATACAATGATGATTTGTAATAATTTCTTCTCTTCATCCGTAATTTTTTTATTTTAGAATTTTTCACTTTTCAATCTTTTTTTTTTATCTTGTTTGTTTTATTAGTCATTCTCTTTTCGATTATTATAACAATTATTAGAGAAAATAATTTCAGTGATCGAAAATATCTTATAATATATTATTTTAATCAATTTTTTTTTGATTTGCCAAAATGACCAATAAAATCGTAACGCGAACTATAATTTTTCAACTCAGTTTCTAAATTCACAACGTGATTTTGCGATAGTCCAAGTTCGCGTTGCGATTTTTCAAATTCGTTGCGATTTTTCAAATTTACGTTAGTCCAAATTCACGTTGCGATTTTCTAAATTCGTTGCGATAGTCCAAGTTCGCGTTGCGATTAAAAATCGCAACGACTGGTGGTATTGCATTTGTTTCTTAAGAAATTTCTCTAAAAAGATAGTATTCGCGCGGACGTGTCGACGACCCCGACCCGACCCGACCTGAGATGGGACGGCGGCGGCGGCGGCGACGATGCGCGAGAGTCTCCCTTGTTCTCTTCCACTCAACAAGGAAGTGGGAAATCCAAGCCTTAAATACCCATTCCCAATAGTATTTCCAATACTATGTGGGATTGAACATTGCCAACACTTGGGAATCTATTACACTATCGCAACACATTCTTTATTGTTTCAAACTAAGATCTTACAAATGACTTGAGAATCTTTTATACTATCGCAACACATTCTTTATTGTTTCAACTTCCATGTGAATTTTGAATAGTTAAAATGTAAACTTATTTTGGATTTTTCACTATCGCAACACACATGTTTTTCAAACTCTCGCAACACATTTTAACTATCGCAACACATTTTTTAAAATCGCGTTGCGAATCTGGATATTCGCGTTGCGAATTTGGAAACTGAGTTGAAAAATTAGAGTTCGCGTTGCGATTTTGTTGGTCATTTTGGCAAATCCAAAAAAAGTTGGTTAAAATCGTATATTATAAGGTATTTTCGGTCACTGAAATTATTTTCTCCAATTATTATATAGCCGCTCTCTAATCTCTAGTGGTACTTTTTCTCCCCTTCTCTCTTTTATTTATAATATCAATTTTTTCTTTGTTTTTGTTTAGCCAGTATTAATTTTGACGTTGATTGTCGATCGTCGATCGTCGATTGTCTTTTTCTTTGTTTTTAATTTTTTTTAATAAGAATAATCACGTCTTTGTGATACATCTATCTTTGTCTTTCGATAGTTTTCGATCGTTTGACCGTTATTTTCGTTTATCTTTTTTCTCAATATTAGATTTGACATCGTCACAACTTTTTAAGATGACGTTTATTTGTTATCATGCTGATATTCTCTGCTTTTTGACCCTTGAATTGATTTGGATACACGTTTTGCGTTCATAGATAGTTTTCTCACGTCGTTTGACTCAGATTTGCGATTTGTCGATGATCTTTCATAGCTTTATCCCCTTTTGTGATTCATTTGCCGATGCAGTCAAATTAGTTCGTATCTTTATTTTGTTTGAGCATTTTGATTAAGTTTTTTAACCTTTTCATTCTTTTGTCTTTGTATGATCTAGGTGGCTAGTTTTTGTGCGAATGGTCATAAGAAAATGTCCTAATTTTAATTTAGTTTACATTTAATACAATTATGCTTGTAAATCTTCATTGTAATTCTGAATATTTTATATTTTTAATAAAACTAACGCTTTTTTATAAAAATAAAACAATTATTATACAACTATTACAATTTTCATACACATTCATAACGATCATTTTGTGAATTGTTCTTAGGATGCGAATATGGAAAGATTGATCACCGGCGAATTTATATGTAAAAGCCAATCACTTTTGTCACCAGTTTCTCTTGGCATTTTGAGGTGGTGCATTTCGGTGGATGGACCATTAAATTAAAGTTGACTTTGCATGGCATTTTTCTTGGGAAATTATCACATAGTCAGCCTTAATATACGGCTAAGTAAATGCACTATCGGTTTTATTAAAAAATATTTCTTTGCAAAAATCAACATAAAATTCTTTTGGTTCATGTCAACAAAGCTACGTAGCTCATTGACAAAATAACTTTGGTTAAAATAAAGTATTAATAGTATTTAACGTGGTTTAGTCTTCTCTATTTTCATAGACGAGATGAACAATAATCAATTATAAACGTAGAGAACACAAAGAGTACAAATACATGATTTCATATGTATGCCAAAATCTATATAGATACCAAAACTCAGATATCACAAAACACTAACATCCCTACAACATAAACTCCAAAAGTTACAGAGATCCCAAGAAAAATGATTACATCTCTCTAACCATTAGAATTATGATAAAATTTAATTTAATTATCAATTATAATTCAGGTCAAAATATAATAATTATGTTTGATATATACTCGAACATGAGCATTAATTAAGCAAGATATGGTCTTTCAAATATATAAAAAGCATATAGATTCTGTTGAAGGCTAAAATATACGAGTGAACAAAACTCGACTCAAAAAAATTTTAAGTTCAAATCAAGTTATAAAATACAATTCGAATAACTTAAAATTTTTCATAATTAATGTATTTATTTTCAAATTTGATTTGAGTTCTCGACTGTGTATGATATATGTATATCACATAAAAAATATGAAGAAGTATATGTATTGTATATGGTTATAAAAATCATTTAAATTGGAGTTAAACAATATCATAAATATTTACAACTAAATTTAAACATAAATTCAAAAATTTGACTCGACTCGACTTAAGAAAAATTTCAAATCAACTTCAAATCATAAAATATGACTCGTTAACTCGAATAACTCAAAATCTTTTGACTCGACTCGATCGAACGCTCACCCCTACTAAAAGGACATAAATGAAAGTATATTAAGTTTACTTCATTAAGAAATAGAAACTGAATACATGGTAGAGAACTATTCCAAAGATAAAAGGCACATAAGACATAGAAAGGCTTACAATACAGACTACACAACACACAGCTCATGACTAGAGATCAGTACTTCTATTGAGCCAATTTTATTCTTTCAATTTGATATTTGAAGTTTTACTTAAAAGGGTTTGTTTAACACAGAGTCTGATAAGGTTTCAGCATAGGCATCAGCCCTCTACTAAGATGCAGAGACATGATTTCATTGGTGGAACCCACCAGCTTTCCACCAATGAAGATGACTGGAACAGGACCATTGTACCCCAACCTCATCAGGGCTTTCTCCATTTCCCAGCCTTCAGGGTCTTGGTCCAGCTCATGAACAATAGGACTCACCCCAAGCTCTTGGAACAGGATCTTGACTGCATAACACATGCAGCATGAGCTCTTGCTGAATAGCACCACCCCTTTCTCTGAGGCCAATCTTGTCACCTTGTCCATGATGGAAATCCTGGTTCAGAAGTCCCTTGGTTGCCTGCAGATTTCACTTAAAGGCCGATGAGCGCCGGATCGAACCGTAGTGGAAGTTTGGACCTTTAGAAGGTGAAGTAGGAAAAGGAGAGAAAAGGGTTCAAAGCTTAAGGTTGTTGGAGCTTAAGCTTCCCTGCTAGTGTATTTATAGGGACAAGCAACAAGAAGGAAATGTATATTAGCTAGAGATTCTACTTTACTTAACAAGTTGGCTAAACAAGTTTCGGCTAAATATTACTCAAGCCATATTCAAGTTTCTGATATAATCACTTCTTTAACTAGTTGGTTCAAGAAAACACACAGGATAATAAAGTAGCAAGATTCATTTTGACTTGATTCATCGGCCTACGTGTTTGGCCTGCTAACCATACGCATTCCCACCTTTTTGGTAGATTCTACGGAGATGAATACTTTATAAATCCTACCAAAGTGTAACAAAAGATGAAGATTCTGAGCCTGGCATGTCAATTTACACTGGACTGCGAATGTGAGCGTTTCTGTGACGTGTTTCTGTGGCTGCAAAATTCTTATTAATGTGTCCTCCAACTTGCATGATTCTTCACACACGTGTGCGTTCCATAAAGGCTCTGATCATTTCAGGCACAGGGATGCTGCTCTCACAGATAGCAACCATCAACATGTGCGAGTGAGCCGCCTGCGAACGACGCCAACCGTCATAAGTGCAGTGACAACAACTCTTCCTTCCTCGATGGTGGGGCAGGATTCTCCAGTCTCATGCCATCTTACTGCAAAGAATAAAGTAATCGGCTTTACAGGAAGTGCTCATCCTATAAGAGTATCCTTGAGGGTAGGTACAGTAAGATTACATATTTGCAACACACTGTAATTATAAATGATGTTTTATGTCACAGATAAGGTCATGTAGACTTAAATTTATATAAAAAATCATTAACTAAACATTCTAATTGATCCTGTTAGTGTTGTCTGGTATGCCAACAGGGGCAGAAAGTCAAAGAACTAACCAATTCGATCACTTTTAGTACTAATTAACACCTTAAAAAGAAAAAGCACAGTATGAACCTAAATTTGATTAACGGGACACGCATTTGTGCCTGTTTCTGATACTAAAGAATCCTACAAAGTGAAGTGCTTTCGTTTACATTCATAAATCTGTTTCATTATATTATCATATACATGATAATGGAAGCATTATCCAACCGAACAGTAAAGTATTTAAGATACCCTATAGGAACTATTGATTTTAGGGTAAACTACGCATTTAGTACCTAAACTATTAGTTTTGGTCCATTTTAGTACCTAAGCTTTCATTTTTTTCAAAATCATACCTAACGTTTAGTTTTTGTTTCATTTTAATACCTCGCCGTTAAAAACTTAACGGATGGACTGAAGGGGCATAGCTCCTATGGACGAACGGCCAATATGAATAGTGGACCACAAGAGAATGAGGGGTTAACCAACATAGTCTAGTTTTAGGCACATCGGACGATTGACGACGGAGATCAGAGGATGAAGAAGTCAAAGACTCTATCATCGATTTGGGGAGATTGAGGCATTTTTCGATGAAACGGAGGCCAAAATCTCGTTCAGGGGTCGAAAATGTGTAGGCTAGAAAGTTTGGGCTTCATTAGTCGACGGATGCGATGGCCGACGACTATAGACAGGTGACCGACGAGCTCGTCCGTTAAGTTTTTAACAACGAGATGATAAAATGAAACAAAAACTAAATGTTAGGTATAGTTTTGAAAAAAAAATGAAAGTTTAGGTACTAAAATGAATCAAAACTTGATAATTTAGGTACTTAACACATAATTTACCCATAATTTTATTCGGGTACCAAGCCGACAAAGCAAAACCCTTTATGCAACATTTACCCTTTCAATATGAAGGGGTGTGGATTATTAATTTTAGAAATTATGGTGTTTTTTATATTCAAGTTATGACTCTCTCCCTATTGTTATTTGGATTTAGATTAAAATCTGATGGCACAAATTAATTACGTTTGTTATTTTATAAATCGTTTGTGAAAAACAATAGGGTAAACTACACAAACGGTCACTAAAGTTTAAGTTTTTGTTTTCCCTACTGAAGTTTCAAAAGTTACAAAATGATCACTAATATTATCACTTTATAACAAATAGGTCACTTGGCCGTTAATTGCTGTTATACCGGTCACAGAAGGATGATGTGGCACATTTACTTGGCTTGCCTGGCATGCTTTGTCCATGTCAGACCATTATTGATTGACCATTTGACTAAAATAATAAAGATATCAATTTTAAAGAGGATTTCAATTTATAAACCCTACTTTCAAAAGGAGGGCAATTTGAAGAACTGATACTTTGCTACAGACTTATTTGCAATCCTTCAAAATGAGATTAAAGGATTGAAAACGTAAGCGGAGAGACACTGGATCATGGCCAACTACCCTTGGAGTTGATGAATGGCTAGCAACTCGTGGAGTTGATGAAGAAGCCATCTTGTATGGCTTGCCTGCTGGACTTTGTCGTTATATTCAACGCCACTTGAACCTTGTTCAATGCTACCGTTGGCGTTTTGTTTGCTCCGTGGAGAACTAGACATGTTTAATCCCTATCTCAGGTGTTTGAAGGAAGGGAGAAGAAGTCTGAACTTGCTTAAGCTGCTAAGCATCATAAGCAAATTGTAGCTTTAGCTGCCAATATAGAAACTAAAATTTACAGTAATGACCGATGGGTCTTTTTTACGTACTTTTCATATATGCTCACTAATAATTTTCTGAAGTTTGGTCAAGCGTGTGTACTTTTGTTTCTTCTTATATGGATACTTGCGCTATTGGTTTTGGAGGGTATTATATGTGGTTTGTTTTCTGAACTTAATGCTGACAACTAAAATAACATTCAGCGGAAGAATCTCCTGGCAAGTTTTGACGGCTACGTTGTTTGACTTTGCTGCTAGGATGCTTGGAACGGGTGGCAGGCTTGTGTTCTTCTATCCCGTGTCGAAAGAAGACGATTCATCGGAGCATCCATGTTTCGAGTTGGTTTCCAATTCCGAACAGATACTCAACTCCAGATACAATCGGGTTTTACTCACAACGGCAAGAACATCCCCGTAGACCGAGGAACTTGCATTGGCGGCTCGGATAAAGCATTTGGAGTTCAACGAGAATCATGCCAAGTGGTTAGAAGAGGGTAACAATCTTCACTCTTCTGTTTTAGTCCAGCAGAGGCTGTTGAATCAGGTGGTCCGAATGTGAGTAAAGAATCAAAGCCAAAATACACAGGGGAATATGTGTAGTCTCTGCTGCTGTTTTGACTTAAATAATGTGGGCATCCATGTTTCTATTCTGATGGCATGATGAAGAGATTGTTTGCCCCTTTTTGAAATCAGGGTTTACAAAATTGAAATCCTCATTAAAATTGATTTTTTTATTATTTCAATGAAATGGTCAGTTAATCCTGATCTCACTGGTCAAACAGTGACAGATAAGCAAGTAAACGGGCCATGTCAGATTTCTGTAACCGGTATAACGGAAGACAACGTCCGAGTGATTGATTTGTTATAAAACAATAAAATTAGTGACCATTTTGTAACTTTTGAAATTTCATTAAGGAACAAATGAATCTTACAAAATTTACATCGTTGGCGTGATAAACTGAATGTCGGACAGTACAAAATTTTATGCAGTGCCTGTGGGCTAGTCTTCAATGAATGTTACCTTTACAGGCTTTAAATTGTATAATGTATTAGAAACTGGACTCTTCCTCCAACTTTTAAATGCCCATTTAAGCTCCATGAGCACTTCTGTTACTATTTTTCTTCTTGTTTTAATCTTTATACTATAATATATTTTACTCATTTAATTTTTAAATATTAATATATTGCATGTTAATATTTTTTTTGATAAATAGTGTATGGTTAAAAAGGATCATGCATAAAAAAATATCATATTTGTCTCATTAAAAACCTTTTTAATATTAAATGGACGAAAATAATAACAACTCATAACGGAGACCAAATGAAAAAACAATCAGCTTAACGAGTCGGATTCCTCGTACTGCACAAAGGTTCTCACTGGTCAACCATACAGTCTTCTACCCGATTACCCAAACGAGAGACATGTTGGAATCGAATACACCAATCCTTTTGCACTAGATCAGGAATATGAGCAATGATGGAAATGGTGTCGCACCTAGGTCCAGTAGATTACAGGAGATGTACAGCATCCAAGCAATCCAACTTAATCACCACCCGACGAAATCTCCGCTCCCAAGAATACCAAAGGCCGATGAAGACATCCCATGGCTCAGTTTCCACAACTTTGTTAGTACCAATGAATTTATAAAAATCAGTCAACCAACGTCCATTACTATCATGAATGACTCCCCTACAGGTCGGGCGTTGTCACGGACCACTGCCCGCATCGCGTGCTAATGGTATACTTCGACATAACCTGGCTTCGCGTCTAGCTTCACTGCACAACTGCTGCAGCCGCAAACTCCATTCGATAATGGTGCCAAATTCATCCACAGGATTGTTGAAGACCCTAGCATTGCTGTCCAGCCAGATGTTCCATAAAAGCGAGCCAAACAAGATGGTCCAATCTTGGATGCTTACTGCAAACTTTGGACCATTAGTTAGGTTAACCAAAAGCCAATCACGAAAGTCCAAAGTGAGGAAATCATGCAAGCGCTAGGGTCTTCTTATATTGCGTGTTTTTTTGTTTGTTGAAAGAGGGTACTTTGAATTATAGATGCAAAGTACACCGTCAAGGACCTCATTAAAAAACATTCCTAATCCTAAATGGAGGAAAAAGAGTGAACCAAGAGACGGAAGAGAATTAATACAAGGATAGCACTTACATAAAAAATGCATACCTCAAACCACAACATACACACACAAACACCCATTCATTCCATTCAGCAGAATGGACAACAAGAACTGAAACTGAAGCGAACACATCAACAATAGGGAGTGACCGAAAACAACAAGAACCAGGTTCACCAAACCTGCTAAAAACTACAGAATATCGTGGCTCCATCGATCTTCAACCCAGCAAGCGAAAGACAACATAAGCTACCTTAAAGGGCTCCAATGCACTAGGCCTTCCAACCTTGACGCTCCTATGTTGGGAAATAA